GCCGCGCTTCCCAAGCGGCGCACTGTAGCAGTGCGCCACCGGGCCGGCCCTACCGGTCATCTTTAAAAAAAAAAAATAAATAATAATAATAATAATAATAAGTTTTCATGTTATGAATCCAAGAAAAAGCAGACAGCTTCAGGCCCCAACATCTGAGTCTTATTTCTGCTTTAACTTCATTTTTTTTCTGTTCATTTTGTTTTTCTGTTGTTATCATCTGTTAAGATTGTTCTCTTTTTTTCATTGTGATAAAAAGGTATTATTTTCTGTGAGTGCACAGAATTTGGAAGGCCACTTAAAGGGGTGTGTAGGCAGAGCAGGTAAATGTATGGCTCATTCGAACTATACAAGTTTCCTAGAATGTTTTTTCCACCATTTCCCACTTTTAATACCCTAAATTCTTTTTTTTTTTTTTTTTTTTGTCTTTTTCGTGACCAGTAAGGGGATCGCAACCCTTGGTGTGGTGTCGCCCACACCCCGCTCAGCCAGTGAGCCCACCGGCCATTCCTATATAGGATCCGAACCTGCGGCGGGAGCGTTGCTGCGCTCCCAGTGCTGCACTCTCCCGAGTGCACCACGGGGCTGGCCCTAATACCCTAAATTCTACAAGTCAAAAATAATGATCTTCAACAAATGCTACTGCTGTAACAGGATATTCACATGCAAAAGAGTGAAGTTGGTTCCCTACCTCACATAATCAACAACAATTAATCCGAAAAGGCTTATAGACCTAAATGTAAGCAGTAAAACTATATAACTCTTCAAAGAAAACATACATGTAAATCTTTGTGACCTGGGGTTAAACAATGGTTTTTGATATGACACAGAAAGCACAAGCAAAATAATAGAAATTGAACTTCACAAAAATTAAAATCTCATGTGCTAGTAGTTAAAAAAGTGAAAAGACTGTCAAAAAAAGTGAAAAGACAATCCACAGAATGGGAGAAAATATTTGCAAATTTTGTATCCAGAATATATAAAGAACTCCTACAATTCAATAATAAAAAGACAAATAACTCAATTTTTAAATGAGCAAAGAGTTTGAATAGACATTTCTTCAGGAATATATACAAACAGCCAATAAGCACATGAAAGATGGTCAACATCATTAGTCATTAGGAAAATACACATATAAATCACAATTGGATACCACTTTACACCCACTAGAATGGCTGTAATCAAAAGACCCAGCAATTCCACTCCTAGATAGATATTTAAGAAAATTGAATATAAGTTCACACAAAAATTGCACACAAATGTTCATAGCAGCATTATTCATTATAGCCAAAAGTGGAAATAACCCAAATGTCTGTCAACTGACATTGGATAAACAAAATGTGGTATATTCATATGTTGGAGTATTATTCAGCCACAAAAAAGAATGAAATACTGATATATATATGTTTCAACATGTATGCACCTTGAAACCAGACACAGAAGATCATATATGATTCAATTTATATGAAATATATTTAATAGGCAAATCTGTAGAGACAGAAATTAGATTAGTGGTTGCCTGGGGATAGAGGGGAGGCATGGGTGAAAAGTGGCTACAAAGTGTTATGGGATTTTGTGAGTTTGTGTGATGATAATGTTCTGGAATTAGACAGTGATGATGGTTGCATAACCTTGTGAGTATAATAAAAACCACTGAGTTGTATACTTTTAATAGGTAAATTTTGTATGTGAGTTATATGTCAAAAGATATTTTAAAAAATAATTCTTGTAAGTTAGGGTCTTTGGTTTCAGTTTTCTGGGGTTTTTTCCTGTTTAAAAAAATATGGGGAGCAGGGAACATTATAGTATTATGTAAGGGTGACTCAGGTGTCTGACTCTTTCCAGTGGACACCTAGATAGAAGCAGAGTCTCAGAGTTTCACTAGGCCTGATAAGAAGACACAGCAAGCGAGCACGAGGGCAGGCACACTTAAAAGGGATGGTACCCTGTGGAGCCTGGGTATCCAGAAGGAAACCCAAAGGTGCTAACATCTGAGGAAGGTGGGAGGGAACATTCCTCAGGAAGAAAGATGTAGAATATTAACTTCATCTGCTAAATAACTTTCCTAGCTTCATTTGGGATTATGTCTTCTGTTGTGTCCTCAAGCTTCAATGAAACAAAGCAACTTGTTAGGTTGAGTTAAGCTCAAACATTTATTGAACACATACATATTTGAGACACACCGTATTAGACACTGGATTGTAAAGGTGTATAACTCATTCTGCCTTCATGACACAGTCTTATGTCTTACTGATAATAAAAACAGAAAAAAGGTGACACAAGGTGAAATAAGATAAAAATAGAAATAACAAGGCTAGTTTTTTTTTTTTTTTTTTTTGTCTTTTTGTCTTTTTCCGTGTCCGGCAACGGATCGCAACCCTCAGTGTCGCCCCCGCACCGGACCGGGGACCAGCAACGGGATCGCAACCCTCGGCGCTAACTCAGCGCTGCTCCTGTGCCTCGCTCAGCCAGTGAGCGGGAACCGGTCTGCATGTGGGATCCGAACCCTCGGGCGGGAGCGCCACCGCGCTTCCCAAGCAGCGCACTATCCAGTGCGCCACCGGGCCGACCCTAACAAGGCTAGTTTTAATGTCAGGTGGCTAAGCTACAAGTAAGGACAGCATCTGGTATATGGTACATGTAAGGTAGACTGTAGGTTTTAAGAAATCTCAGTCGACTTATGTTACATTGGGTAAGGTATTTGAACTTTTATCAATGCAGAACGTAGAAAAAGGTGCAGGGACTCTTCTGGTTTGCAGCAGGTCACAAAGGAGGAACATTTTCTGTATAACCTTGATTAGAGAATGGTAGGGGAGGCTGCTTCAGTCAGTTAGATGGATAAAGATTTATTAATACCAGTATTTCTGTTAAACATTATTCTGGGTAATAAGGGAAGTCCTTTTTCCTTAGAAGAAATAATGGCAGTTTCAGATAAGTAACCAACTGGAAAGCCTGCTTCATTTTGCTTTGGAGTATGAGAGTAGAAGTGGAAATGGACAGCCTTGATATCTGTGTGTGGCCCTCACTGTATCAGGAACAGGCAGTCACATGGATTGGCCAGGAATGTAGCCATGTAAATAGTCCAGGGAGAGTGTTCTTTCAAGTAACCACACTGAAAGAAGAGTTAGGTGATAAGTAAAAGAAATATAACATTCTGGCATCCTAATGAGTCCATAGCATAGGTCTCAGGACACTTAAATAGGAGCTTGACAGGGAAATAAAGGCTTATCCTTAATAAGAGAGCTTCAATAACTTTTTTATCTTTTTTACTTCTGTAGCAGACATCAACTTGGATATGTCAAAGCCTTTGAAAGCAAACCTGAGTTTTACCAAACTGGATCAGATAAACCATTTTTTAAAGAAGATAAAAAATGCACACAACTTTGCACATAGCAAAGAGACTTCAGCTCTTTCAGACACCGTGCTGAATAAGGATGAGCTTCCAGTCTCCAAATGTTACCGCAGAAAGTTGTCTAAACCTAAAGTTCATGGTGACGGAGTACAAAAGATTCCACTTCAAGAAAACGTGTGGAGAGCTGTTTCCTGCTTTCAAAAAATTTCTGTCCATACTACTCAGATTGTGATCTCCATGGAAACTGTCCCCCATCCTAGTAAACCATGCGTGTTAGCCTCTCTGTCAAACCTCAGTGGAAGCCTTAGTGTCAAAGCATCACAAAAAGTACCTGGTAAGTCACAGAAAAGGGGAGGGGAAGAGAGAAAAAGCAATATGACTTGTTAACATCTGAAAGTACATCATTTTGAAGATTTATATTGTGTGGAAGTTAAAAATTTTAAAGGTCATTAGAGATGGAGACATTTCTGGTTTGTGACCTTATTTTAGAAATAATTTTAAAACAAAGCATTGAGCCTGGGTATTTTAACGCCCTAGGCTAAACTGTTCTATTCACCTCTTGGGCCATGTTCCTACAGATGTCTTTAAAACTGTTAATTCCTAAATTTCTTTTTACGTGAAGTAGCTGTGGTGGAACAGAGTACCAATTTTTGTGAACCATGAGAATAGCAGTTCTCAAAGTGTGATCTCGGGACCAGCAGCATCAGCATCAGCTGGGAACTTGTTAGAAATGCAGATTCTCAGGCCCCACCCCTTACCTACTGGATCAGAAACTGTGGACATGGAGCCCAGCATGCCGTGCTTCAATAAGCCCTACAAGTGATTCTGATGCGCTGCATTAAGTCACTGGTAAAAATTTATTTTAAAAAGAAACATTGCTGTGGTGGCAGATACGCTACCCGAAGTGTTCATAGAAGCCAAGGTTCAACTTCGCAAGAATGCCTTTGACGCATTTTATCAGGCAGCAGTACCTCACAAGGGAAGGCTGTGCTTCTGTGCCTAGCCTAGCAAAGAGAGGCAGGGACCCTGCAAACTAAATGTCACTGATGGGTGGAGAGGTGAGAGATTAACTGGCAGTGACATCTACATTTTCCTCTTCTGTTACCATGACTAAGTTGTTATGTGCTTTTTCACACTGAATCAAAAAGGGTGGGCAGAAGGAATGCGAGGAGGAGAAGAGAAAAGGCAAGATACAAGTGGGAAATAACAGTTTTCAGTCACAGAAACTGCTACTGCAAAAGTTTAGGGCACAATGCCAGAAATTTTTCTCTGAAAGGAAAAGTAGCAAAAGGGAACCATCTTTTTTTCCACTTTAATTTGAAGGAAAAAAATGGGTCTCCAGGATAGTGCAGGGGATAAAGTAAATCCTTAAACTATATGCAATGTAGTTGCTTACCAAAAAGTAGTTAAGTGGCAGCTGGAGACTGACTGTAACTTAGTTCCACATAGCCAGTTTGGACATAGTAGTTTAAGAGATAAAAAGTTTTATAGTTGAGAAGTATGAATTTTAGGCCAAAACATGGATGATTTATTTCTTTCTCACCAGAAATATTTGTGACCAAGCCAGCTAAAAGCTTTGTATTTTTTTTTTACTTTCTTAAAAGTTAGAAATGAAAAATGTAAGGTTCCTGGGACATGAAAGGCTACGAAACACTGGAGGCTACAGTGTCTGATTTATCCACAAATAAACTCATCTTGTTCCCATGCCTTTCTAGTTGTACCTGAATCATAGCAGGGAAAGGTTAGGACTCAAACAGAGTAGAAGAATTTAAACATGCTTTTGATTCTCTACTTATGTGTTATCCACTTTTAATGGTGTGTCTATCCTTGGTAAACGTCTCTAACTGTAATTAAAATCCTTCTCTCACTAAGCTACAGAATAGACTCATTCTGTTTTTGCAATTTGTTTTTCCCCCTTTATAGAAGAAAAACCATGTACCCTTTCTCCTTTCACAAATATGTTCTTAAATCTAGTGAAACACAGAAATAGAACTGTAGCTTTAACTAAGATATACTTTATGTAACTCTAATGTGTAGTCTCCAGCAAAGTTCTTATAAGTACCACGCACTAACCCATTGTGCCACTACAGCTACAAAGTTCTAAAATAGTTACTTGTGTCAAATCAAATAAAAATTGAAGTTAGCCATTTAATAGGAACAGTTTTATTAATACCAAAATATATTTTTCTACATTTCTGCTTTACATAACAGCATGTTCAAACAGTTTAAGAAGATAAGAAAGTCAGCAAAATAATTAGAAATTAAAATTAAGAAAATAGGATTGTCTTAAGTTCTAGTTATTGCTAAATGCTGAATTCTAGGAAAATTGTAATTGATTACTACATATTTTTCAAAAAAATAATTTTAACTATTTTTTTAAATAATATATAATTTAAGCTTTGAAAATTAATTTCATTGCATAGTTGACTATCTTAAAAATTCATGCTTTGTAATTTAGATGAAATATATACCAATATATATTCAAGGTATAGTTTAGATAAGTGATAGAAAGTATCCACCCCCCAACAGAAAAAGTACACACACAGAGAAAACCTACCAGTAGTCATATAACTTTTTGTATTTTTCAAGTGACGTTCTACATTCAAGCAAAATTTTTTATAGTGTACCTTTGAGCCGAACAGGGTTAATGTCAGATTTTTATACTTCGAATCTAACACAGAGATACTTAACTGTGTCTTTGATTTCACAGTTTGTATAGCTATTGTGACCATCTGCAACAGCTGCACTTTTCAAATTATTTGCTGAACCAAATTGAGCACAGTGACAAAAGTAGCCATCTCAGATGTACTGTTAAAAAGAGAAAGAGGAGCATTGCCTTGTACAGTATAGCCATCTGCTGTACAGATGTCACTGTATAGAATGACTTAAGATAAAATAATTGTAGAAAATTTTCATTTAAACCTCAACAATTTGCACTTGTTTATGTGAATCTGCATAACTCCCCAATGAGACAACACACTTGGGGTTTCTTTGGTTCTCACTCACTTTCTCTTTGATCCTTTTTGATGTGCTGACTTTAATAAACACAGTCAAAAACACTGTGCAAAAACATCATGGAAAAAACTACAAAGGAACAATTATAGCAGCAGAAACTACTCTAATCCCTAACTTACGCAAGCTATTTTTAGTGAAATATTTTTTTTAACACTCTTTATGTGACAACGTTATATAAACAGAGTAAAATGGTCCTTTCCAGATGAGTTTTAATTTAGGGGCTGAAATAGATTTGTAATGCTAGAAGAATCTTATGTGCTAAGTAATATTTAGAGAAACACCATTGGGAATGTGTTGTAGGCATGTTTCCTCATTTGTCAAAGGTACGAAAAATATTTGAGTTCGCCTAATTATATTTTTTATCCTCTAAATTGTCAGAAGCTTATGGGAAGTATATGGGGAAAAAGAATAATAAGAGTGAAAGGGGAAAGTTAATTTTCTTCCTAAAACATTGTCAATATGTTTAAATAATCTGAAATGATTTTATACTTATTTACTCATTTTTAAAACTAAATATTTACAAATTATTCAATGAAGTGGTTAAAGAAATTTCTGTTTTCATCATTCAGAACAAAATAAAATGGTTAAGTATTTTCTACTTTACAGCAAAATCCCCTTTTCTTCTTAGCCTCCTGTACTATTCCATGACCCTAAACTATGAGAGTTTCAAGGCACTTGATTTTTTTTTTTTTTAAAGATGACCGGTAAGGGGATCTTAACCCTTGACTTGGTGTTGTCAGCACCACGCTCAGCCAGTGAGCGAACCGGCCATCCCTATATGGGATCCGAACCCGGGGCCTCGGTGTTATCAGCACCACACTCTCCCGAGTGAGCCACGGGCTGGCCCTTGATTTTTTTTTTTAATGCCACCCTGCAGATGCTAGCGTAGCGGTGACTTATAAAAACCTAACTCATATTTCTGTTAGAATGCTTATGTTCTCCCATGCGTCTTTGGTAAAATGGCCCTAAAGTTCTGATTTTAGTTGATGTAATGCTTGTATTTTTTAAGTTGGTATATAATATTGCAGAAAATTCTATGATTGTATTATCAATAACAAAATGGTTCTCATTTAGAAATTATATCTTATATTCTGAGATTTTTTTTTTGCTATCCATCCCATTCTGTAGTTTGTTCTTTTAAAAAAGAACCCCTTCCCCCCACATACACACACAACACAATCTTTTTTGCCATTTGAAGTATGTCATTTTGGAGAAACCATAAGTATGTAGCTATAAATTCTGCACTGGCAGTGTAGTACTTTCCACAGGCAGGGAAGGGAGTGAGCTGCAGACTAGCTCCCCTTGTCAGAGTAAATTATGGCTCTATTAGGGCGGCAGTCCTTAGATTTCAGCAAATAAGAGTACACAGTTCAGAGCTGTGAAATAGCTGTACTTCATGCTGCCTTGCTCTTTCTTGGGGTACTTAGATTGGCAACCTACATGTAGATAAGAAAAAGGGAAGTAGGATATGAACAAGTTACATGGGTTGGAGGAAGAGCCTGAGTGAGGCCATCTTGGCTGGCATTTTAGTCAGAGTTGGGAAAAAGTTGGAAGGATACCCTGACAAGGAACTTAGGGGACTTTTCACGCAGGCAGAAAGCAGTGAATTGAACTCCTTCTAGTTAAAGAACTGTGATTTAAGTAACTTTCACTACCCAGCCTCTGTCATCCAGATGTACTTATCGTTGTGTATAACAAAAGTAGAGAGAAAGCATAGCGACATTATTTTTCACATATGCAAAATGCCCCTTCTCATGTTCACTGAATTCAGAACCAGTAAAATGTAAATAACCTAAAGTTCCTTTTCGTGTATTGAAAAGTGAAACTGGGTCATTAATTGATACAAAGCGTAGCTCCAGCTTTTCATTCCATAGTTAACTGGATCTCCTGAGGAAAATCTCTTAAGGCGTTGTCATAGCCTTTGGATGTTGCAGAGATGCAAGTTAGCCTAAAGGGAAATAAAACATTAAATTAGATATGACTACCTAAAATAATATGTTGCAATAACAAGCCATTTACAATACCCCAAAGACTTCTGTTACTTTTAGAAAGAAATAGCATCTCTTTCCAGTGCCTGAACAATAGGAAATGAATTCTTTGACAGTAAAAGCCAGAAGACGAACTTAACTTTTAAGCAGCCACTGAGGATTGAAGTGGAAGTACAGCTTGGAGACAGTTATACAAATCACTAACAAACTTAATGAATATTGGGTGTGGGCATCAGAGTCCTGTCATTTTTGACACTATGTCCCAAGTAGCTTAAACCCAACACTCAAGGAAAGGTGGAGACCTCATTGGGTCTGTAACATCTGGGATTTT